GTCCAGCACCTTAATCACCATGCCATCTGTTTGGTCTTGACATTTCCATTTTATAAAGAGGAAGTCTGACAGGGTTCAATATTGACCAAGCTTAACAGTGTAGCAGTGAAGCAGAAAGTAGGATATCGGGAAACAGTGCTTTGCTTTTTCTCAGCACTAACAGTGAACAACAGAGGAATGTCCCCCTTGAATGAGGTAAGCTTCACAAAATGACTACAACTATCAAGAGAAAGGTCCTGCATGAGTTGGAAGTTTAAAGATTGGGAGAAGTTTAGTTTTTTAAAAAATAGCACTAGGGGACCAGCAGTTAGCATAATGGCTGTCACTAGACTCCCATGTAGTCGACCACGGTTCGAATCCTGGACCTGGTGGCTTAAAACTCACGCCAGGCGCGTGTGCCTGTGTGCCCAAGATCCCAAGAGAAGAATTGAGGAGAAGGGATTGTGGCGTGGCTATCCCTCCTAGGGGGTGATTTCTCACTTTCTGTCTCTCTGTCTCTCTCTGTCTGGCAAGCTCACGCACCCTATAGCAAAAACTTCTCTAAAAAAAAAAAAAATAGCACTGGGGTGAATCACTTACAGAGATGAGAAGGCTTTAAAAGATCATGATACAGCAACCAGCAGTTAGTGTAATAGCTATGTCACTGGACTTCCACATAGTCGACTGCGGCTCACGTCCCGGACCTGGTGGCTTGGAAACCACACCGGGCGCATGTGCATGTGTGCCCAAGATCCTGAGAGGAGAATGGAGGAGAAGGGATTGCGGCGTGGCCATCACCCCTGGGGGGTGATTTCTCGCTTTCTGTCTCTCTGTCTCTCTCTGTCTGTCTGGCGAGTGCATGTGCCCTATAGCAAAAAACCTCTCCAAAAAAAAAAAAAAAGATCATAATACATTTCATTTCATTCCTTTCATAAGTAGTGAAAGATGCCAATGATATTTGAAAATGTAATGGAAAATACTACTCTTGTATTCTATTAATGTAAGGAAAAGTATCTATAATAAAAATAGGGTCACATCTTAATACTGTCACATCACCTTTTTCTCAGATGCTTACTGCTAGAATATTTGAGCTAAATGTCCATGAATTTAACTTACTCTCATATTTTAAAATACTTTTTCCTAATAACAATGCAGCTGTATTTAGTTATATGGAATGTCATTGAGCAATGGATAAATATATAATAGTTTGTTTACAATGGTCCAAATAGCAATAAGTATGAAAGGACTTCAAAAAGTTTATGGAGAAATGGAATCAAAGTACAAGTTTAGTTTCCTGCAAAAAAAAAAAAATTCATTTTCCATGAACTTTTTTTCTTAAAGATTTATTTATTATTATTGTTAATATTATTTTTCACATGAGTTTTGCCAGAGAAAGACAGAGAGAGGGGGAGAGTGAGAAAGCAAGCTGCCAGGTCCAGGACTCAAACCATGGCCAGCTATGTGGGAATTCCAGCACCTTAACTACCATGCCACCTGCTGGCCCATTCCACGAACTTTTTGAAGACTAGTCATATTTATAAATCTGATTTCGTTGTGTTCACTTGTGTTCTTCTTACTGACCTACAAACATTTAAAATATGGCAAATTCAGTGTTCTGGTAAGTTATTATGAGATACATGTGAAAAATAAATGGAAGCAATCTTACCTTTGTATCAACTTTCACACTGATAACATATTTTATGAATGCTTATTCTGTGTACAATAATACCTCAGTTGATATGATCAACCTAACTCATAAGAACCAATTATTAGATGATATTGGAAACCAGGTTCAAAATAATTGGTTAAGCTCAGGTGCCTAATTTTTGGCTTTATGGTTTATTGCAGATATTAATTGATGTTAAAAATCAAGAATGATGTTGATATATGTAATATCCTTTCGTATTTTTGGCTAAAATATTTGACATAATGAATTTACATGCTTTGTGAGTGCACAGTGTTAGCTTGTTAGACAACATGACTTTAGATACTCTAATATCTTATATAAGATACTGAGACAAATAATTTTAGCATCTTGATACTTGTCAGAAACATATAAACCACTTGCATATCTTCTCATTTCTCCTATAGTCTCATATCAGGATCTAAGTATGTGTCTTAGTCTATTGCATTACTAACAGAAATATTGGAGACTGGATGATTTATAAACAAATAGGTTTTTAGTTGACTCATAATTATGATGGCAGGAAAATCAAAGGGCATAGGGAAGGCCACATCACAACGTAGCTGCAGAAGCAGAGAGGATGAGGGGCAAGCAAGCAGAGAGAGCAAACTGGAGGCAGCCACCTTCCTTCTTTAACAACAGACTCTGAAAACTAACTCCTCATAAGAGCTGGAACCTTGTCTCCTACTAAATGGCACAAATCCATTCACGAGGCCAAAGCCTCCGTGATCCAATTACTGCCCATGAGTCCTGACCATCATTAGAAGTCATTACACTGGAGACCAAATTCCAAAACATGAACCATTACGGGACCAACCATTACCCAAACTATAAAAGTATGACTTTTTTTAGAATTGTTCTATTTAATTTTAGTTATGATTATTATTAGTTTTTAAATTTAACCAGAGAGAGAGAGAGAGAGAGAGAGAGAGAAAGCAAGCTGCCAGGTTTAGGATTTGAACAGCAGTTGACCATGTGGAAGTCTAGTGTCTTAATCATCACACCACCTGCTGGCCCCAACAGTATAAAATTTATGAATTTTTATAACCACTTCTAAAAGCTGGCATTATATATATATATATATCAACTAGTTGCTACCCCTATCCCATCTGTCTCTGCCCCTCTTACTGATATAGATAAATATTTACTTTTTTATGGTCTTTCTCTTCCATTAGACTGTAAATTCCAAGGAATAAGAAACCTTATCTCTCTTGTCTACTACATTATCACCAAGATTTTAGACTAAGGTATGGCATAAAAAGAAAAACCAATGCATAATTAATGTTTATTGAATGAATAAGCAATTGAATACAAACCCAAGCCTCTCCTTAGTGAACAGAAAGCAAGAAATCACACACACACACACACACACACCCAGGGGGGATGGCCACGCCGCAATCCCTTCTCCTCCATTCTCCTCTCAGGATCTTGGGCATGCACACACACGCACCCAGTGTGAATTTAAGCCACCAGGTCCAGGACTCGAACTGCGGTCGGCTACATGGGAGTCCAGCGACATAGCCATTACGCTAACTGCAGGTCCCGAGGTAGATAATATTTTTATACAATGTGATTAGATCTTTTTTCCAAACATTTTTGATCATGTCCCATCTTTTACATTGCAGTGTTTGTGCATGTGTGTATGTGTGTGTGTGTACATGTGTATGTGTATCTGACACAAAATATTTGTGAGATAATATCTTTAGTAAACATGATAATTAAATATGTAGGTATTCTATTCCATTCTATTTATTTAAAAAACAATACTGGTATTGAAATTGTTTTGATGACCCACAAATCTGCATTTTGTAAAATGCTATTTTAGGCCAAAATACCAAAAGAGATGAACTACATAAATCTTTAACCAGACCAAAAAAAAAGGGTATCCCAATCAATGATAGTTTAACTTATCAAATCTATATTTTCCTGTATTTCCTACCTTTCCAAGCAATTTCTAGTTCCCTACAGAAAGATATCACTTCCAATATCCCGGCTTTCAGGAGCTGGAAGGAATGAAAGAGACAGGAAATTTTCTCTTCCAGATCTCATTAATGAGAAATTGAGAAATTATGTCAATTTGGATTTGGATTCAGCAATATACTCTAATTATTTTTTATCGTTCTCACCCTAAATAAACCATATAATTTAAGACTTGCTATCCTCATTTCGCAAGCAAGAAACTAAAGGTCAAGAGGTTAAATGATTTAAGGTGAGAAAGCAAGTGAGCTGAGAGTCTTGACTCACACCTCTTCCAAATATAGTCAAGTCCCCTACCTTGGGGAGACAGATGATGCATTAATTCCTGGAGCCCAGAAGCAGCCTTTCTGGATTGCTCAGTTTCCGGACACTGAGGGGAAGGAGGGTCCCAAAGGCCTGAGTGACCCCTGCCTCTTCCGGTGGAACTGTGAAGGCAAAGGCGCACCCTGTTCTCGCCCAGCTTCTTTTCCTCACCCAGCCTGGCCCTACTCTGTCCTCCAGCCCTTCCTACTGTGCAGGGGGCATGTAGGGCTAACCCCCAACACCCTTAAAGATTAAGAGTCGCACTTGGCTTCACACAATGAGGGTCCATCGCATCTACAACCCTGGGGGATTTCTCCTGAAAAATTACCCTTGTCTCAACTAAGGTGGCATGAGGAGGCCAAAAGAAAGCTCTAAATCTAGCTCTTTTGCGACTGCATTTCTTCACTGGGCTCCTAGGGAACTCTTGATCAAGTAGAGTATGATTTCGGTTGTTGTCATATGCACACTCCCAGCTCCATTCTGCCCAGATCCCACCACCATCCACGCAAGCGTGATGGCTTCTGGGCGGATATGCCAGGCGCCTCTGTAGCAGTACTGGGATCCCACCTCTCCCACGTCCTCCCAGCTACCTCGGCCGGCCTCTGGTCCAACAAAGAGGGTAGAGCCCAGGACGATGGAAGGAGTTCTGGCCCACTGTCAACTGGGCATGCTCAGTGGTGAAGCAGTTTTGTGCCAGGCCTGCGGCGCTGGGACGCTCGCCTAGCCGCTGGAGTTGAGTGCGCGCAGCTTGAGGGGCCGCGGCTGGGCGGGAGAACGCGGCTGCTGGGTCCCCTGCCCTGCCCGGCGCCGCGCCGCCC